CGGGGGGCACGTAGCCTCCTGAGGTAGTCCCAGTGTAGGAAGTAAGTCCTCCGCTCCCTGCATGTCGAGGACCTCGTGTGTGTTCTTGCCGTGTGTCACCAGCAGGGAGCGGTTGAGACGCCATCTCGTACCTTGTTGTTGAAGGAGAGCTGTGAATGGCCTAAACGACCTCCTTCAGGCCAAGGTGCTGCCGGACAAGTCTGCAAAAAAGGAGAGAGACGTGGATTCAAAAGGGTACTGGGCATGGTTTTTAACCACTGCCATAGTTGCAGTTCTGTCCTCCCTTCTCTGAAAGCAGAGTATGGTTATTCTGGTGGCCTTGGCTGGGGCCTTGGCTGGTTTGGGGACCCTGTAGACGCCATCCAGTCTTATCGTTTTGGCTTGCTTTTGTGGTAGCAGTGCTGCTAAGAGTCTTCGCACAAAGTGCGGCAATTCTGGGAGTCCCCGTATCTTCAGGTTAGTCGCTGTGCGTGTGTCCTCCATTGCGGCGAATCGCCGTTCAGCGATCTCCGCTTTACTTTGCAGGCTCTGTATCTCCCGCTGCATGGAGCTGATGTGTCTGTGGAGGTGTTTTCCAGGGTGATCAGTCTCCCGGTTATTCCCTGGAGGTCCGTGCGGAGTCCCGCCATTTCTGCCTGGAGTGTGTACTGGAGATCTGCCAGTAGCTCCTTGAGCACTGCTGTCGTGACGGGCACATTGTCTGGGTCCGGAGGTTTGGTTGTCGTTACCGGGCGGACAGGAGAGTCATGTGCGTCCTCTCCCTGAGAGAAATTGTCCGACAGATCGGAGTAAGTAGCTGGGTAATCGGCCATTTTGGGCCCTATCGCTTCATAAGTCCGCTTCCACATGTCCAGACCCATTCTCGGTTGGTCGGGTTTTTGCTTCTTATTCTTGCGGCCCATGCTGGTTCTGCTTCTGTATCACCGTTTTTTGGCTGTTTTGGTCAGTTTAGTTCGGTCAGATTAGGGTAGTTTTAGTGGAAATCGCAGGAGCTGTAGTGCCATGCGACTGCTCTGCTCTGTAGCTTGGCTCCGCCCCCTTATTGTGCTTTTTTACCATTCAACATTTGCTATATCTTTTTAATATATACCAAATCAGGATTATTAGCTAGATCTATATTTATAAGATACCTTTATTTATTTATCATTATGGGTTCCTTTTGCTGATTTTATATATCTTGTCTGATATGCTTCAGATATGTTCTCTCTATAATGGCACAAGTTGAGTTAAAACCAGCTTGAGATCTGAGCGGGTCCCACCTAAGGGCAGGCTAGTTGAGCTGTTGCCCCGTTCTCACCTCTCTTGCTACCTATTTTTCTCTATTTTGTATACTATGATTAATATTCAATAGCAATAAACCCTGCATGGGTTAATTTGGTGCCTCCCATATAGGTAGTTCTACCTCCCACTTAAGTATTTAAGCCACATCAGTGGAGAGGATCTATAGTTTTGATAAAGTCTCAATGAAGAGACGAAACGCGTAGACTTTCAAGTAATTATCGTTATCATCCACACGCTGCTCTACTCGCATTGCCGCGGCCTTTTTTGAAGTTACCAGCCGTGGCACACCATGTGTTCCCAGTCCGGTTCTGCTCTCCCTTTACGGCAAACATCAGAGGATACCGTTACTTACGTACTTTTGGGAACATTACTAGACGACTCTGCCGTTTGACTCCGGTACCGGGGGTTGAGCTCGCTGGGCACAGTACAGCTCTGTTCATTCATCATACACTCTACAACATTCTATCTGTGGAGGGGGCCCCCCATTGATATACTTTCTGTTTTACTACTTGATTCTAACTTATCTGCTTGAGGTACATAGACACTAATTTGCCTTATTTTTCATTTTAGCTTATTTGGCAGGTTATCCCTGCTGTGCTATCCACCAATTAGCTAATATACCCCCGTTTTTTCCCCATCTGAACAGTGTTCCCTTTTCAGGGTCTATACACATATTATTCCTATGTTTTATTATTGATCGAGTCTGTGGAGGTATTACACGCCAGATTGACACACCATATTGCTACATGATAGTTCTAGCTGTTTTTCACGCCATTAGAAATTTGGATGTGGCAATTTACATACGGGTGTATTTGTAACTCATTTCCATGGTGCCTTTATATTGTTATTTATTGATTTTGACTTCATATTTGTGACACGCCACATTGTTGCATTCCGGTTCTAATTGTTTGTACGGCATTAGTGCCTTGAATGCTGTCATTTGTAATTGTGATTTGTTCTTAATTATTAACAGCGTTTTTTAGAGGCCGCTTATTTAGTATTAATATTTTGCTATTTGTATCCTACTATTAAATATATTCTTTTATCTTTATCATTTGGACACCTTTCGTTAATAGGAGCGCTTACACTACATTTTTATATAATGACATTGGTCTCGCCATATTTAACAGACATGGATTAAAAGGGTGCTGTCTGTGGAGGAAGCAGCTTGGTCTTGTCAAGGTAGAAACAGCCTGCTTTGGTGGTAATTCATCCTGACCATTGCGTGGAGTAAGGTGTAGCTCTGAGTCAGAGCATTAGGAGAGGGAGTTCCTGACATGGGAGGTGAACAGGAACCGAACTCTGGTTGGAGAAAAACTGCCTGGAGGTTGCTGCCCTCCAGACAGCAGTGGTTTACTTTAATATGGTTTATGTTTACAATTACTTTAAACAATAACTGTTGACGAAGCCCTTTTCCCCTCTTATTCAGTGGTCTTGTGTCAATTTGTGGGAGATGGTCTTTTGGTGGATTGTAAGCAATGTTGCCTTTGACAGTCAAGGGGTTCGTGTGGAGGGTGGAACTTGATGGAGTCTTTTTTCAGCCTAGATTACAATGTAACTACGTAAAACAGCAAAAAAATCACGTTCTCAAAATTACAATAGTATGATGCTAGAGTGGGAACAATGTGTGCTACTTATATTTGTTTTGTTTTATTTTTATGTAGGATCTTTGTGCAACCTCTGTTATCATGTAAAGTCCAACAGACTTGTTTTGCCCTCTTAAGCGTCAACTTGCAATGAACTTTGGCAGACGGCTCCAGAGGTGTTATTCTTGCATGTCTATGCAAGGCCGAAGCTTCTAAGCAACAGACTGTGAAAAAATCATGTTGACTTGTGGAGTTTTTTATTCTAACCCTACGGCAGTGTTGATATGTTCCTACAATTCTTGCAAAAGGTAGGCCTGGAGTTTTTGAGACAAAACATGCTCAGGTTATTTACTAATCCTTGAGTTGTTGGGAACTAACAATTTGAACCCAAATCTAGCACATTCCACATTAATATTCACTTGCTCTTTGCAAGTGGCAATTGGAAATTTTGAAGTTAGCATTAGTTAATGCTACTTTACAAAGTTGCATTGGCCATTGCCTTTTAGTTTAAAAGATATGATTTTTTATAGTCTATTTCCAGTCTCTGGTCTTACTTGATGCCACTACTAAAAACATATTTTAATGAGCACAGATCAGTGCTCCTTCCCTAACGAATGCTCCTGTTATTGTACATCCAACTTGTCTTGTTTGTTAGTCCTCATTGTACTGCGCTGTAGAATATGCTGGAGTACCAGGTGAACAGACAGAAAAAATTAATTAACCAGGATCAAAACCGGCTCCTGTGTCTGGTTTCTCTTTCCTGCTGATGCCCTCTTTCTTTCATTAGTGGACTAGCCTAAAACTGAGACAGGTGAATTAGAAGGGTGGCTGAATAAACTCCCCTAACTGAGAGGCGTGCCTAACAATGCAACATGGCCACGTTTATAGTAAGCATATAAATGTTTATTACATACTTTTCAAAGTTTTGCTTCCCTTATTTTGATTTGTATATTTATTTGAAATTGTTTTCTTGCTGGTTTAAATAAATGAATCGTCAAGTGAATCAAGTCCCTTGATCAAATTATACAATGAGTGCAAATAACATTTTGATAGTCATTGAGCTACGATATACATGGGTATAATACTTGGAGGATATTTTGTGTTATAATAAAGAAGAATTACAGTAGATTATTGAACGTACAAGGACAGCAAGGTTACATAGAACAAATTATAGAGCGATAAAAGTTATACTGAGTTGTAGTGTATATATATATTTTTAAGAAAAACTGATTGGGCTTATGGCTTGGGAGAGGTAAGGATCAGAATAAAAGCGGGATATTGGGAAGTGACCAGATCAGGCGAACTTAGGGGAGATAATCAGAGGAATGAGTTATCGAGTATCAGAGAATATTTGGGTAAAGAATGGTGACTTTAGAAGTTTGCGAAAAAGTAAGAAAGAGGTGGTTGACTGGATGTGAGCTTGTTCCAGTAGCATAGGGCTAGGATCAAGAATGAACAGAATCAAGAAGAAGCACATGCTAATGGGGTTGGTTTAACCCCTTAAGGACCAAACTTCTGGAATAAAAGGGAATCATGACATGTCACACATGTCATATGTCCTTAAGGGGGTGTGGGCACAGAGGAGAAATAGGAGGGGGCAAGGTTAGATGTATGTACCTGTTGGACCGTTGTCCCACCTCTTTCCCCCTCCTAAATGAGTTGCTCATGATAAAGAGAAAAGACATTTCATGCTGACATTACAGTTTTCAGATCAGATTGTGATGACAATTCCATTGGTTCTTAGAAGGTCAATATGTCATTTATATAACAAGCCGTGCACATTGCTTAGATAGAGGATGTATATGCTCTAAATGAATGACTGCGTAAAAAAGCTAATCTCTTCTTAACACGAATGAATGCTCCTCTGCTATCTGCTCACTCCAAAAATTACCCCGCCTCCTGCCCGTAACTGGGTGTGGAAAGAAGGGAGGTGTAGGATTGCAATTTAGTTGTTCTGAACTGAATGCCCTTCATGCAATAATAAAACATGACAGGACAATTTAGAAACTTTTACATAAGTCAGTGACTCGCAACATAGTTTTGAAGATTTAGAGAAGATCCTATTTCTGTTCGCAATACAGGAGATTTACCTGTGGGATTCAGGTAAATTGTCAAACTCACAATTGGACTGCGCTGGGGAATTACTGACACCATAACCACTACAGTGTTCTGTAGTGGTTATAGTGCTTGGAGCATTCCGTCAATGTCTAAATGCAATACACATGTTCTGAAAGATAACTAGCTACACTTTTTTTGCAATTATTGCTATATTTACTTCTATTTATTGCAGTTCTTGAGGATTAGAAATATTAGAAGGATCGTTATTTCCGCTAGGTGCAGTCTAGCCAGAATACTGTTTTTTTCACCCAATCTTACACTGCAATATAGATGATCCTGCAATGATCTGTTCAGCGTGTTTTTTGTGGGGGGTTTTTTCTTTCGCTTTAAGACATGAGAAGTTTGTTGATTTCTACAAATATACTTATTCATAATGCTCGTGTTTGTAGGTCATACGCTAAGGGTCAAAGACCATGTCTCCAGATTATTTCGAATAGTTCTAAATGTAAGGATTAGTAATATTCTAGCAAAAACTTGGAGAGGGAAGTGAGTAAAACCGAAATCTACCAGGAAAAGGGACAAAACATATATACAGGCTGATACTCCACTAAAATCCACAGTATAATTTTCTATACATATTATTATTATTGGTATTATTTATGTATTGCACTTTCTGAATTATTTTTCACACATCCCCCTCCCTTTCAGTTCATGGGGAAAAAAAAGGTAGCAGCGGGAGTGGGTAAAGTAATAAAATCTAAAAAACACAAAAAAGGGAAATAAAAGAAATAGTGCTGAGCTTGGCTTTTCGATAATTCTTTTAATAAGAGCAACAGCCGTCCTGAAGTTACACAAGGTCACAAGATACACTGCCTTGGGCAACTCTGAGCGCTGATATAACACAGTCTCATGTCTTATACAAACTGCTGATGTCTCGAATAGAATATACGTGCAGGTTTTTTTTTTTTTTTTTATAGCTATTCAGCACCTAGATCATTACAAGGATACTTACTCAGCAAGTTTCTGTGCTGGTTAATATGCCCTATCCCAGGCCACACAGTATGTTTAGGCTATTGTGCAGAGTAAAGCCAGTTCGAGCTTAAAAAGTGTCCTACTAGAAAATGTTTAATGATCACCATTAAAAATAACCAGATCAGGTTCTTTAAGTTTAGCATCCCACCACATTACTCTACAGACTGGTGTGTAGTTAACCCCACTAGACTGAGCCAGGACGCTTCTTGGAGCAGTTTAAAGGGACACTATAGCACTACAAATCTGTATTCCTATCTCTGCAGTCTTCTTGTCCTCGTTTGTTTTAGTCCCCCTCCCCATGTGCATTTTCAATAAAACAAAAACATTAGGGTGACAGGCCAATCCAATGCTCCTCGTACAATAGGCAGATGTGTGGTGCTTGCTGCCATTCTCCAATGATTCTCTATGAAAAGCCAAGGTGGGGACTGCTGTACATACTATAACAACTTCAATCAGATGAAGTGGCTATAGTGAGTACAGTGTACACTGAAGCCCCCAGTAGTGCACCTAGTATGTTTATCTTTCATGTTAAAATTAGATTAGGACCTACCGATATTGTGGTTTGGTTTTTTGTAGTAGTTGTAGTGGGGGCTCAACAATCTATGGGTGAATAGTGTGACCATATAACCGTATTTTTACTTAAGATGTGTGGTTTTATATAGCCTGGAAATTATTTAAATTACACTTAATGGATCACTCCAAGTACCACTCCTTATAGGAGTAACCTGGCACCCTCAGTGTATTAGGCCCACTATTTTAGAATAGGTTGACATCTTATGTGGGTCCAATAGACGCCGCTCTCTGCCTGGCGATGTTGCGCTTGGTATCAGTTAATCGCTCTCAGCCAGTGAGCTGGCCATGCACTAGAGGTTTTAGTGCATGTTAGCTAAGAAGCACATTCCAGCTCTTCTGGAGTTTGAGAGGAGACTAGGAACGTTGCTCAGCAGACCCCAGGTAAGAATTCAAACCGTTCTAAAACATCAGGCCGCTATCACTGTAGTGGTTATGGTGTTTGGGGTGTTACTTTAAGCGACTTGTGTCTGCTGATGCCTGTTTGTCTGTTCTAGTTACCCAGGGAATGTGAGACCCCCTACATGTGAGTAGAATTGGGTTACTTGGTTCACAAGCCTCTAGTATTGTGACAACACAAATAAAGGATCAGAATATGTCCTACCTGTTAGTCCTAAGCAATTAACTAACCCAGTCCCCAAGGAGTTCCCAAGTTGCTGAGATAAATAATTGTGTAATAAACCCCTGCTCCTGGCACAGCCATAACAAATAAATGATACAAATGTTCAGTATTTCTCCATCTCATTCCGTTGCCTCAAAATATTTGAATAATTACAGAAGTGTTTCCATTCATAACTAAACAGTAACATCTGTATCTTGTGCTTCCTGCAAACTTTTCTGAGTGAGTTTGAGTTCCAGCCATAGACTCTGAGGCATTTTAATTTACATTTGGATTTTAATCAGGAAACTCGCTGCATTGTGATTGGCTGGGACTTAACAGTCAAAATGTTACACATGTAACACACACAGAACACAGCTAAATACTCAAGCATTAATTACAAGTATCTTATTAACAAAGGTGATAAAAAACAAAAACAAAAAAAAACCTCTGAACTATTACACTTTTAAATAAAAGTAAATGTTTAATATATTATAGCATACCACTGCTTTATTAAGGCATAGCATACATGGAAGCATATTTGGTATTTTCAAAACGTGTTTTGCAGGATTTAGAGAAGTATCTGTGAAAAGGTTTTATTCCTCCTAATAATACATTTTTTGTAGAGAAGGATTAAGATCCCATAGGGCCCGAGCAGGTCACCAGTTCTCACATAGGGATGGTTAAAGGGAAACTAGTGCTAGGAATACAAAGTTGTATTCCTAGCACTGTACTTCCTTCTCCCCCCCCTTGGCAGTATAAGGGTTATAAAAAAAAAAATTCTTACAGTACACATAGTGCTCCGCCCCCTCCCACAATGAGGGGGCTAATGCACATCTGTGGTGAGTGCTGTGAGTGCATTAGGTGCTCCCCTAAGGAAAACATTGCTACTTTGGTTGCTGGGGACCAAAAGTTGCCTAACATGCAGGAAGTGCCTCTAGAAGCTTTCTGATTGACAGCCACTAGAGGTCGTCTTAATCCTGCAATGTAATTATTGCAGTATATCTAAAACTGTAAAGTTTTACATTGCAAGACTAAGTGGGGCTGTGACACTGCTCGCAGATCACTTCAATGAGCTGAAGCGGTCTGGGTGCCTATAGTGTCCCTTTAAGGCGGTTAAGCAAATTCATGGTTCTGTGGCCCCTAAGCAGTCTCCTAGGGTAACCTTTTGATTTCTCATGCTCCTAATCATTTTAGCACCAGTCTCATTCCCCTTGTCCTTGTGGCACTAATGGCTTATGTTTTTCCCAAGGCTTTAGAGAGTTCTTGTAGGTTCTACCAACATAGCCATGGAGTATTCTGGAAAGCTGGTCAACTGGTTATAGAGATACTTTTTCAGAATAAAAAAAAAAAAAGTCATCCTCTTACTGGATAAGGACCAAAATCACTGTATTGTCGTAGCGTCCCAAAACAGAGTTTGTAAAATTAGGTTAGTGAGTCCTCTTAAAATATAATATCCTATGTACTAAAATAAACTTATCAAAGCCCTTTCATTAGATATTTCGCCGTGTCAGTGTGGTATCACTATTGTACGGAGAGAAAGCAGAATTATTACAGTATATATTTATATATATTTCACAAACATATACATATCTTTCAAGCCATTTTTTTTAAAAACCATTCCATCTGTAGCACATCATTCTCAGGAATTTAGGCATCAAATGCAGAAGATATTTTCAAAGACATATTTGCTTAATCATGTCTTTTAGAAATCATAAATAAAGCTATAAAATGTATATTCTGGAGGTATGTAGATAAAATGAGAAATCTACTGCTCAACTCGAAAAACATTAGCACTAGCAGTTATTTGTAGAAGTGTACCCACATTACATTGAACCTCGGATGGAGATGTTTTTTTATTTTATTTTTTGTTCCACCAATCCGTTCCCAGAGCTGTAGAAATTTTTTTGTGTGTGTGTGTGTCTCACTATGCACCCGTCAACCTACCCTTTATTAGGGAAATTATACACACACATTGACATTCCTAATAAAGCCACAATTTGGAGCATTAATACTGCAGCCAGTTTAGGTCTCATAATTACAAGATTCAGCAGGATTCTAGAACGATTACCTGCTTTAATAAGAGACAGGGCCGGACAAGAAGCAGTTAATTTAATAAACTCTCGATTATCACAAATGTGTTCTGAATGACAACACTTAAGCAAATATAGACAAACTGTTGAAATTCTGCAACTTGACTATTTTTTGCCAATCGGATGTAGTTTATGAAAATTCGGAGTTTATTGAATAACCTGCAAGGGTTAAAGCAGTTCCAGGTCAGCGCACCAGAGGACTTTTCAAGATCAGAGATATTTAGATTATTATGTGAAAAAGCAATACGACTTGATGGATGATAAAGAGAAGTATCCTGGGTCAGCAAGAGTCGTATCTGCCTAAAAACCTTCTGCTTTGCTTTGAAGGGCTCTGGGGTGGACAAAGAAACAAAAATGATTGTCTCTGCTGGTAAATACTCTGGTATAATGTGCAGTGTTTCAGAAATCTGGGGGAGGAGGAAGATAATCCAGATATGAAGCTTGGAGATCAGGCACTGTGAAGAAGCAAAACATGTACCGGTAAGAAGCACAACAAATTATCATCATCTCTTAGGATATATACTGGAAACTAATATGGTATTCACTAAAAACAGATTATTTAATGTGTCTCCCACGTTGGAATTAGTGTAGGACCCACCGATATTGGGGTACTGTGACCTTGTGGTGGGCTTAACACAATATGGCCGTATGGTGTAACAGAATCGCATATTTGTTTGCTGAGATAGATGATTTTGAGTGGCCTTATAGAATTTAAAACTGTATTTCTGTGTGGGCGCTGTTCCTTAATTTGTATTTTGTATACATTTTGGTCTCTACGGCAGAGATGTATGTACCGGGTGTGCCCACCAATTCCCTTTTTATCTAGGGTTACTCACGAAAATTAGAATTGTC